AGATCAAAGATACTCTCCAGCTGCTGAAGCCATTCAGCCACAGCTTCGGGGCCCTCAACTCCGCTGAACGCCGGAGGATGCATGTTACGAAAATCGATCACAACTTGGGTAATGGGATCTCTACCCAGAGCATGCTGATGAGGAGGAGGAGGTGGGGGAGGTGGTTGCTGCTGATAGTTATTGCGGGTTTGACGAGCCATTTTTCTACATTGAAAAATGAGCCGCAAAGATTTAGCACAAAATAAAAGAAGTCTAGAGTTCGACCCTAGAGTTCACATTTTAAGGTGGATAAAATCTAACCCCAAATATTAGCATTACATTGCTCAAGTATATACCAATACTTATTTAAAACATACCTTAAGCAGTGCGGCATGACGAAGACGAGTGGTCAAACACACAAGGTCAATTCACACAATCACTTAATCACATATAAACCAGTCTATAGAAACGCAGACTGGCTCTGATACCAAACTGTAACGCCCGAAATATTTTTAAAGACAATTCCAGACTTATCCAAAAATCTTATTTTAAAATTTCGAAAACCATTTATCGATTCATGAAACATTTGGCGTTACTTGAGAACTTTTCAAAGTTAAACACATAATCAGCATAAGGGAAACGAGAATATTCAACATAATTCAAGTTCCAAGCCTAGATTTCAACATATCTAGTAATAGGATTGTCAACATAATCCAAACTGATAAAGATATTCCACATGGTTCAACAGTTCAACCAATCCAGAAAGCAATAGGGATGAATAACAAAGTCTGATAATCTCAACATAAATATCAAAGCATGCGGAAGCCATAAAAAGCAATAATAATGTTTGACCACCCACTCGTCTTTAGTCTCGTCATGCCCAACACGTGCTTAACCTGCATCAATGAAGAGCAGGTGGGGATGAGCACAAATATAAACGAGGTGCTCACCACTACGCATAATATATTGGTAAAATTCCTATACTAGAGTCATATGCAAGTACATGGTCAAAAGACATAACACACCACTCTCCTACTCATCACTATACTCATGTGCACACCTATCAAAAGCCGCCAGGGGTAAGCCCAAACTCGTCAGCGGGAGTACAGTCGTGCCGAGGTTCAACATCAACGGTCACGGTCCATCAACTAGGCTAAAATGAGTCTACCTATCACAAGGTTGGAGATCGCCCACCACTAGGCACCGTCTCATGACTCACACATACATTCATAGAACACAAAGTATAAAAATCTTACCTCAAATATAGCATAACAAATTTTAGATTAAAACCCACCTGGTATTGCGGTAGAATATTGCACACGAAAACAAGCACGTAGGTCGAGGGCTCGACTCCTCAAACACCTACATTTAAGCGAGATAATATATCAATAATATATCTCACTACTTGATTTTAACATAAAACCCATACTTAATAAAAATAAAGTCTTAAGGGTTTTAATCGGATTTTTTGAGGACTTGGAACTCTCTCATTTTTAAAAGAATAAGACTCGGAGTACAAAATTGAAGTTTCGGGACTTAAAAATAATTTTCCTAAAATTTTATTATTTGAAAATAATTTTAGAAATTGATATCGGTACGAAAAACGGAATACGGGACACAAAACAGGCTTAAAAAGCCATTTGGGCCGGCTGCCAAACTTGCCCAAAACTGCCCACATTTGGGCTATTAACACACACGCTTTTTGGGCCGAAGCTGTAACACCCCGACTTTTTAATACTATCAGAGTACGCGATTTTTCGCAATTTTCTGAATAAATAAGTAAACATTATTTTTTGCGAAAACTGATTCGGGATGCTACCGTGAAAAAATTGATTTTTCTAAAAACCATTAAAATTTTAAACTGATAAATAAAAACGGTTATAATGTCTTATCCGACTAATGTCGGAACAAAAACTGAAAATAAGTACTGAAAGTTTTAGCGGAAATAAAGCGTGGCAAAACATATACACATAATTTCACAAATATCCTGAACTGCCCGCCAGCTCACTCCTCGTCCCCGATCCTGCGACCTGAAAAACATGAAATGTGTGGGGGCGTGAGCACTAAACACTTGTGCTCCGCAGAAACTCATACTAATGTAAACATTGTAAATGATAACAATATCATGATCTAAGCATATATAACCGAACTGAAACTGAATCTGAAATCTGATACCGGTCTGATCTCGCGACATAAGTCACGTAACTGAAACTGAATATCTGTCGGCACAAACTAATACCGAAATCTGCCGGCACAAACTAATACCGGACCATGTGCACACTCTAGTGGTT